AAAATGGAATTTATTGACGGAATTATGGACCAATACAAGTACCAGGGAATACTTGACCGTAATATCCAGGAATCTGTTCGAAAACTTGGACTTGGACGACGATTTGCCTTCCAACAAGACAACGATCCGAAACACTCTGCCAAGTCCACCATGGAATACTTCAAGAAAAAAAAATTCCGAAGCTAGAATGGCCTCCCCAATCTCCAGACTTGAATCCCATTGAGCATCTGTGCGACCACATTGAAAGAGAAATAAGAAAACAATCTTTTTCAGGAATTCCGGGCCTTAAATCCAGAATTCGTGAAGTTTGGGAAACCATTTCTGAAGATGTGACCAAGAATTTGGTAAACTCAATGACTCGACGCCTTGAAGCCGTCCTTAAAGCGAACGGAGGCCCAACCAAATATTAAAAATTAATTGTTATAACATTCCTTATAAATTACAGTTTTTTTTGTATGTTTTCTCTGACTGGACGTTGACTTTTGTCCATCCAATTGTTTTCATTTTGAATTAAAATACATCTCTGGCCTAAAATAAATTTTTTAGCGGAAAACTAATAATGTGCTATGAAATTACGTTAAATTTGTGAGAATTTGATATATCAATGATGAAAATTGCTTCAGTACTTCAGTGACAATTTGAAAATGAAATTGACGCGACTATGTGGACGTAGACATCTGTCCGACACTGTATCAATTTGCTGTTCCCAAATTCTCCAGTTAAAAAGCGTTGGTAAATATGGGAGTTTCTCAAAATGTAAGAATCGTGAGCGCTTCCAGGATGGCTTGCAACAGCGTCAATAATGCGAAAGTTGTCATCACAAATTAATTGAACATTGATTGAGTGATTTTGTTTCCTATTTACAAATGAGCGCTCATTTTCCGCAGGAGAGATAATATTCACGTGAGATCCATCAACAATTCCAATTATATTAGGAATTCAGTCAGAGGCACTGGAGGGAGAGACTTGAGTAAATGTTTTTGTTATAACCCTCTGCAAATGCAACATTATCAATGACTAAATTTCAAATATAAATTCCCCATTTGTCGTAACATCGTCCACATTCTTTCTCTCAGTTTTTCATATCATCAAAAAACGCAACCCAAACACAAATTACCATTCACAGGCCACAACCCACAAACATATATGTGAATAATATAGTAGAATAGTTTTATTATTACATATAGTTTTCTAGTCAAATTAAGTTAGGTTCAATTTTCAGTATAATAATTTTTTATCCAGTTTATTATTTACAATAAATAAAAGAAATAATTAGTCATTTAAATTGCTGGATTTCCTAAATTTTCATTGATATATCTGAATACAGTCAAATCTTTTAATTTGTCAAACGATTTTATTTTTAAGATAGGAAAGCAATACCATGCGCAGGCTTGGACAAGGTACTTTATTTTGAGATACAAAATAAAGATATTGCTTCAAAAAAATCCAAATATTATCAAAGATACGTTTATTTGTTTAATGGAAATTCGTCTTTTATTACTCTGACAACCCCTTACTAGGGTAATGTCTGACAATAGTTTGACAATAGTAGAAATTTACTGGCATCTGTCGTTCATATTTTCTAAGTTTTGAAAAAAGACGGTTGCACAGTTCAATTTGGAGAACTTGTAAAATTTGCATGTATTTACAGTGCGCGCATCGAGATATCTCGGTCTATAAGAACTTCATTGTCTCGTCTCGACGGGACGAGACGAGACAAAAATATTGGTTATTTAGAAAGTTAGCTTTACTCATGATTAAGTACACGGGCAGCCATATTTTCCTATTTTAATTAGATGGTAAAAACCACTTTTTCCCATATTTCCCGCTTTTTCCACTACCCGTGGGAAAAAAAGTTTTGACGGGAAAAGCGAAACCCTTTAGCATTAAACAAATTCCATATTAGCAGCATTACGAGAAAATTATTTCATTGGTGGAACGAGATTTGTCAGCTTAATTTTGTTGTGTGAATTATAATATTTTTTCCATGACTATCAGAATTAATACAACGGACAGAAAAACTTAGTCAACTGTTCGTATCAAACAGATGGTGGTTATTTGCTCGATATAAGCATTTTATATGAGCATGTTTGACATTGTGTTTGATCTCTTTCAATTTACATGAATGCGGTAAAGTACAATATTTTACAAACAAAGGCGTATAATATCAAGCCCAAAGGAGATATAGCTAGTAGTTTATTGAAATTACAGTTTGTAATATTTTTCCATACATGTCAAAATTCAGGCAATAAAGAAGATCAATTCTTACATCATTGTCATACACCAAATACACATTGCCTTAAATTTTTGGAGTATCTGTGACCAAGAGGGCACTTGATTTCACGAGATATTTCAACGGAATTTCCTCCCACTGCTCGTTTCTGAGGCTGGAGATGGAGTCTTGACGCCGATGGGAGAGCAGTTGTGATGATGACCACACAGATGAGCCCGATAATTGTAAGGGATCCAAGGCGTCGAGATAGGGTCATGATTACTGTGATAGGGAAGAAAAATAGTATGGTTGACAGATGCCGAATGCAATATGATTAATACAGAACTGGAATTTACCTTTGACCAGTTTTTAGTAAGAGTTAAGTTTAAAGTAATTTTCCGCCGAGGCAAAAATTTCAAGAGTTGTATAGATTTAACGTGACCAGCTTAAAAGTGATGGCATGAAAGTATTTTTGTATGTGCGTACATATATAATTAAATTTTATATGCTTAAGGCACCTTTTTATGGTTGTTTACAAAATTACTCTTTTATTATTTGACGACAATTGATAAAAAAACAATGATGAAATAAGGACAGAATCAAACAATTACTCTCTTGAATTTTTAAATAGGGCGTAACAATGGTCAATTGTGTATAATCTTTAACTGCAGAAATTTACACCGTTATATTTTGAGGTTGGTTTGCCTAATTATTCGAATAAGGATGATGGGTGGATGGAGTAATGTGGAAACCTTAAGCAATTTTTTAAAATGTACATTTTCAAAATTTTAAAATTTGACCGTATTGACCTGTATATTTATTTACTGAGAATTCAAAATTATGTACACAAAAAAAATATCACAAAAATCTGACTACGCAGGAGTCGTACAATTAAGTCCCTAGCCTGACCTGTTATTAAGGTCATAATTTCAGGAAATGAAAAAATTTCCCAAATTTTTAAATTATTTTGTCGCCTATTCATTCTAAACTTCAATGTCAAATATTGTCGCCAATGACTTTTGAATTTCGAAAGTATGACCTGGAGGTCGCAACAAATTGTGGGTGTGATAGGGGGTGTGATAAATTTTGATTGATTGATATAAATAATCTAAATAGATAAAAATTGTAACCCAATTGCAAGACACAAAGCCTTGATGCATGTTGAAATATAAGCGAAGGCCTAGGTTATCTTATAAAATGTTGAACGGTCACCAGACACGCCCCCAGGGGTGTGGCCATTGGCGACTTTTTCTGATGTTAGTAAACATAGGCATGCGACATATCATTCAACTCGGAATGTTAATGGGCTTCTCCCCAATTTTTCGAAATTTGGGAACCACACCTCTTGGGGGTGTGGTTAATTTGGATTTGGATCGGATTTGGATTTGGGTTGATTTGGATACATCGATGCTGAGGGCCTTTCAGAGGAGTAGATTACAACTGAAAAATTCACTTTTTCTTTACTTCTGCGGTTAAACTGGTCGTGTGTCCAGTCGGTCCAGTCTAGATCCCCCATCAATGATTGATTGCAGCGGTTCACTAGGTGTTCCAAAACGTTTTTCCAATAATGTTTTGCCTCGATCTTAACCAGTTTTTATACGAAACACCATGGCAAGTTGCCAAAACTGCTCACGCTCACCAAAATCGCTACCTAACCTGAGCGGTGAGCTTTTTTTCATTTTCCTTCCTGGACGAATATCCTTAACCTATTGGGTGTAGAACCTGCCAGCTTGGTTGTTGAGAAATTTTTGGAAGGTAAAAAATTTGTCAACCTAACAGGGATGCGTTGATGTTTTTTTTCGCGTACCACTGGATGGGGACTTAAGGTTTTTTAACGGTAGCTCCTCACTGGGTTATAGTAATCACGTGTCACTTACCACGACTTAAGGCCTCAAGACTAGTGGTCCCTTTGAGTTCCATTCGGATCCTGGCCTTCCAGACCTTCCTCTGAAGTGCTAGTTTTGCTAGGCTCCGGCGTGGGTTTTGTCGGGTTCTGATTTTCAGAGCATCCCGCATTCCAGTGGTCCTCTTGAAGTTCCAGGGATTCTTTCTTTTACGTTTTGGAGTAGACCTATTCCCCAGGTTTGTTTGAATTGTACGCTTGAACAGATTTTGGTTTACTTTGAACTTCTTTGGCGGTTTGAAAATTTCAGTATTTTTCTGTAGATATGATTTTTTCTCTACCTTCTTGGGTTCAACGTTATCGCTGCATCATGCAGCGATAACATTGAACACAAATTTCGTAACCAGACATGCAGCCTGCATGTCTGGTTACGAAATTTTTAAAAATTATGGATGCACTTTTAATCAGAATCGCATGGGCTATTCAATGCATTTAGTCGCTTTAAATTCTGTTCAGCACGTTTCGAGAAATCGGCTGTTGACCCTTGAGCTGCGCATACTAGGTAGTAAATAAGACTACACCTCCAAATAGCCCCAACTAACCAACTGGTGGACCGATTTGACTAATCTCCGGTTTTGGTTGATTAATCTCCGAGCTTTATTCCTGAATACATATGGTGAAAATTCCAAATCGATTATCCGTTGTCGACTTATCGTGATGACGGACAGACAGACAGATAGACGGACATAGCTGTTCCATAAACGTCGAGTAAGGCTAAAAATATGTAAACACCAAACACTGACTGCACGTGAATGATAAGTACAAAATACTTATGTATGCTAAGTTTCTATTTGGTAAACCAGAAAACAATAAATTATTCCATATCTATGCAATAAATTCTTTCGTAATATTCTTAAGAAATGCAAAATGCCGTAATAAGATTTAGCTATGAAAGTTTTTAAAAGCTTTTTTTATTGTTAACCAAAATGGAATTTAAAATATGCTGGATCTGTTGAATTATTCAGCTTATCGTGGTTTACAACTTGATGATACAGTTAAATTTTTCCCGATTCCATCAATTAATTAATTGGACAATTTTTACCATCTGGAGCCTACTAGTCTGTTTGCTCAACCACGGATCCGAGACTTACGGGATCTATATAAATCCAATGTTGTGTCCAATCTTGAGTGTCGCATTCCTCAAAAGTTGCATCAGTTCTGAAAATTTCAGAAACGCAAAGATCTAAATAGACACACCACTCTATGAAATTGTGCTCATACCCATTGCCATTATGTTTCAAACACTGTTCTCCAACGCCATCCCAATCAAACTGAAGGACGCTTCTAAGTTGAACTAAATTGGTTCCTTCAACATCAATTACTCGCCAGAAATGATAAACTGGAAAAGAACTTCCAGGTGGTAATTCGAAGTCAACATTGTTCATTCCATATTCACCATGAGTCCGAATATAACGTAACTGATAATCGCCTAAAAATGGTCATTTTACAAATTAAAAAAATTGAATTTTAACTTACTAATCTAACTAATTAAATTTTACACCTTGATCGGGGTAATATGGGGATTTCGTAATTGTCCAAACTTGTTGTAAAGGGAATTCTGCCATCCATCTTTCCGATGTGACATTGCCGAGCCGCATTGGATTTTGGGTCATTTCTTGCAAAGATGTCAAAAACTAATGAAGAGGAAAAGTATTTACTAACAATGCGATGGTGTGAGGTGATTATCGCCGATATCCACCGGACTAATTTTTAATTGTTCACGCTCAAAAATAAGCGGACTCGTATTTTTTCGTTTTTCTGAATGGGCATGTTTATGCCCGTTGCGGAATTTTCAAAACAAAATTCAGCCAAAATTCGGATTTTTAAAAACGCTGTAACTTTTCGAATTTTAACCCGATTTCAAAAAATAAACCCAATCTGTGTTCAGAATTACATCCCTGAAAATATAAAAATTCATTTTTAAAAATTTCAAAAATTTGATATTTTCATGCTATTTCTGAATTTTTATAAACCCAAAAAGCGATAATTTTTTGAAAATTAAAAGTTTTTTAAAAATGAATTTTTATATTTTCAGGGATGTAATTCTGAACACAGATAGGGTTTATTTTTTGAAATCGAGTTAAAATTCGAAAAGTTACAGCGTTTTTAAAAATCCGAATTTTGGCTGATTTTTTTTTTTAAATTCCGCCCATTCAGGAAAAACGAAAAAATACGGGTCCACTTATTTTTGAGCGTGAACAATTTAAAATTAGTCCGGTGGATACCGGCGATAACCACCTCACACCTTCTCATTGTAAGTTTAATCTACGTATCCACAAAATGAAAAAAAAAACTTAATAATTTACCACGGCCACTTGTGACAAACTGCCTAGCAGATAGTTCCCGTCGGGTATGATGGACTCATCAATTTGAGCTTCAATTCCGGACAAAAATAAGAATCCTAAAGTAACAAGAAGTAGGATGGGTAGAACATTTTGCAACTTGAAGTATAAATTATGGTACATAGGCTCTGACAAGTTGTAATTTGTGATACTGAATCGTTTCAAGTAAATTGTCGAAATGATTGTGGCCTGCAATGAGTATCATTGTCTAGACTATATGGCGTAAATTCGGTATGAGTGACGTTATCTTTTGAATGATAATTTTCCAAGGATTTTCCGTGCTTGAAATAACACAAATGGGTTAACCAAACAATCAATCAACCAAACACTCTGACAGCAATTTATCTGTATAAATATGTATTGGTCATAAAATGTGATTATGTTTAGAAAATCATTCTTGTGACTTGCGTGAAGGTTACGGGACAAGGGGAACGGGGTGGGTCTGCTTTGCCAATCCATTCTAAAGTAAATATGTTAATAGCTAACTATTATGGTACGACTTTTTTTATAAGAAACACCTCCCACGTTATTTTTTCTACAACAAGCTGGCCGATCCCTCCAATGCCTAAAGCATTAGAAATTCAAATTAACGCCAATTACTCACTTTTCATCCGATTTCAAAAGTTAAATATGTTTTGGAAACCTTGAGCGATTTACTAAAATATATATTTTCAAAATTTTCGAAAATGACCTTAGTGACCTCCAGTTAAGGTCACAATGTCAAGAAATGAATAAATTGTATTTTATCGTAAAACAAGTTTTGATAATTTTATTGAAAATTCGAATACCAGGAATTGTTCTGGATGACCCTGGATATTTACCTCTGTGACCACAAGGTCACGGGGTTATTGTGGGCGTGTCAGGGGGTGCGGCAAATTATAATTAAACTTATTTACATGCATTTGTTGAGTTTTTTGTGTGAAAACATTTTTAGTATATCACTGGTTACCGAACAATCGTTAACCACTCCCACTCTTGGGGGTGTGCCCACAGCGACTTTTCCAATGCTTCCTCAAACTATGTGGTGTGACACCAATAATTTGTCGTGGGAGAGCAGAGATTTCAATTCCTATTTCAAATTTGAAAAAATTTGCCACTCCCACTCTTGGGGGTGTGCCCACAGCGACTTTTCCAATGCTTCCTCAAACTATGTGGTGTGACACCAATAATTTGTCGTGGGAGAGCAGAGATTTCAATTCCTATTTCAAATTTGAAAAAATTTGCCACTCCCACTCTAGGGGGTGTGCCCACAGCGACTTTTCCAATGCTTCCTCAAACTATGTGGTGTGACACCAATAATTTGTCGTGGGAGAACAGAGATTTCAATTCCTATTTCAAATTTGAAAAAATTTGCCACTCCCACTCTTGGGGGTGTGCCCACAGCGACTTTTCCAATACTTCACCAAACTATGTGGTGCGACACAAATAATTTGTCGTGGGAGAATGAGGATTTCAATTATGACGTCTGATTAGTAACTTCATACTCTTTATGAAAAACTACAGAATTTCAAAACACATTAAAAATTTAGTTAATTTACTTAAGATTGTGTCCATGGAATATACTAAAAACAATAATGAATAATTACATAATAATTTCAATTACATGATGGTCATATTTTTTTAAAGTTTGCATAGTTGTTGCAAGTAACATAGAAAATCGACAACTCGGTAATACTGGTTTACTTCATATTTAAATAAGTTTGGAAAATTGTAACGCCTAATTAAATTGTTGAAAACATCTGGACCAATACACCGTGAGCCGTCACATCCGGAACTAATTCATCGTAGTTATTTCGTTCTCCACCAGTCTCACATATGTATGTAATAAACGCCGCCATTAATATAACATTTGTTTGGATCATCGTCTACTTTATTTAAGTTTGACCAAAATTGCGAATGACAACATCCCTGATTGTGGGGTTGGCGAAGTTACTAATTAGACGTCATAATTGAAATCCTCATTCTCTCACGACAAATTATTCGTGTCGCACCACATAGTTTGGTGAAGTATTGGAAAAGTCGCTGTGGGCACACCCCCTAGAGTGGGAGTGGCAAATTTTTTCAAATTTGAAATAGGAATTGAAATCTCTGCTCTCCCACGACAAATTATTGGTGTCACACCACATAGTTTGATGAAGTATTGGAAAAGTCGCTGTGGGCACACCCCGTAGAGTGGGAGTGGCAAATTTTTTCAAATTTGAAATAGGAATTGAAATCTCTGTTCTCCCACGACAAATTATTGGTGTCACACCACATAGTTTGATGAAGTATTGGAAAAGTCGCTGTGGGCACACCCCCTAGAGTGGGAGTGGTTAACGATTGTTCGGTAACCAAGGCAAAACTGTCTTTGGTGATAACTCCAGTGATATACTAAAAATGTTTTCACACAAAATACTCAACAAATGCATGTAAATAAGTTGCCGCACCCCCTGACACGCCCACAATACCCCCGTGACCTTATGGTCACAGAGGTAAATATCCAGGGTCATCCAGAACAATTCCTGGTATTCGAATTTTCAATAAAATTATCAAAACTTGTTTTACGATAAAATACAATTTATTCATTTCTTGACATTGTGACCTTAACTGGAGGTCACTAAGGTCATTTTCGAAAATTTTGAAAATATATATTTTAGCAAATCGCTCAAGGTTTCCAAAACATATCTAACTTTTGAAATCGGATGAAAAGTGAGTAATTGGCGTTAATTTGAATTTCTAATGCTTAAAGCATTGGTGGATCGGCCACATAACCTTTTTCCAAGAAACGTATCTTCTTTTAATTTTTCGACCATAGCTATGTTCTGATGTCATTGGAATTGATGTTGTCGGCAGGACTTGGTTTTGGCACGATAAGATTCCTCAGCTACGGAATGAATCTGAAACGATGAATGAATAAATGAATTTGAAATGAAACTGAATAAAAAATTTGCCATCAAATAGTGGACAAACTGTATGTTGCCAGATGTGTCATTTAAGCATTTTGTGTAGAGTTTACACGATAGACCTCTAATAATATATGTATGACGATATTACCGATTTTACAATAATATGTATGTATGAAATTTTTATGGACATACCTGACTTACAGGACAAGAACTAGATGTATATATGCATGCATTTATGGTCGTTTATGCAACACATTTATATAACATTTATGTAAAAAGGTTAGAGTTTTTTTTCTTATTTTTGACAAATATTAAAATTCTCACCGTGCCCTCAATTGTTGACCGACTTCAAAAACTTAAACTGTTTTGGAAACCCTGGACAATTGGGTAAATTAGGTTTTTCCAGATTTTCAAAATTTGACCACTTCCCTTTGCAATTAAGGTCAGAAAACAGATAAAAAAAATTAAACAAAACCCTAATTTTGTTTACATCGACCATAATACCAGCTTTCCACACATGAATTGAGTTACATGTACAATTTAGATAAGTGTACGTATAACCTATTTATTACCTATACTATGAACAACACACAAATACATATGTACATATGTACAGGCAATACACACCGCTAATTAAAACTAATGCGATACAGTGCAACCAGTAATATCATAAATTATGTATGCTATTTACTGTAAGGATATAATCTCTAATATTCTAATAATCTAGGAAACATTACGAAACTAGCGATCAAATACATATTACCAAAGGTTTGAATTATTATTGTCGAAAGTTATTAAAATATTTAATTTTTTTATTTAGGATTAGTGAAGTTTGGTTTGCATAATGTAAATAATTCTATTGTAATTATTCAGTAAATTTTAATTAACAATTATGCAGCACGTTATGTAAACTAATTTCGTGCAAAACTTTTACAACTACCTACGTAAATCGATATTTTTCTTCCTGTTAAAGGAAATGACGAACTTATAAGTGATTTAAATAGGCTATTGTTACAATTTTATTTTTTTACCCGATCTAGTTCACACTTCACTCGTCGCCAGTGGATTTTGGTTCGAGGACAATAATGTTCTTCATTTCCTTAGTTTTATCGCTTCTTACGCCACTGCTTGCCAAGCCCAACACGACAGACACATACTACAAGTTTTGCTTCTATTTGAGGTAAATTTGTGGAAAATTTGATTAGAAATAATGCAGTATAAGCGTTAACTATTTTGTCTATCGTAACTAATAGTTTGCCCCATATTTTCAGAAATATTCCGAAGCACCCAAATAATCCAGAAGCGGGTAATTAATTAAAATCGTCGTTGCCTTTGTTCATATATTCCCGCAATGATGTTAAGTAATTATTGATAAATTTTGATATCTTTCGTGACAGAGGTCTATGTTAAAGGGACTAGTGGAAACCCCCCAGGCGAAATTACCTTTAACACTGGCCAAATTTCAACTAAGAATGTAAACTCGGAAATTGGGGAAATCTACGAATTTTATCAGCACTCTACTGGTAGTAATGTATGTAAGGATCAACTAAACTTTTTGTATCAACTACATCCAAAAAATAATTATAATCATAGAGAGAGATCACCGTACAACTATTCTTCGCTGGGAGCAATGAGGTATGTAAATACATAAAAAATACATCAGAAAACTGGTTCATTATAAGTCTTTTGGAAATTAAATTGTTTGTAACCTTTGTCTAGTTTATCGGTAAAACAGTCACGTTCGATCCTCCCACCTACTTTAACGACAATTGGAAGACATCTCATGAATTCGGCCTCTATAATCCGGAAAAGACTAATGACAAGTATAACGTGAAACGAGACGAGCAGCAGAGCTATTTTGGCGTTCATTTTATGGTTAATAACCGAATCAAGAATGGCACGTATGTGAGATTAAGGGTGAAGGATGTCAAGACAATTGTCCTACAAGGAAGGAGCTAATGCCGGGTCAATAACTACATATGTACACACAAACGTATTTCGGATTAAAAGTTGATGTCCAAATGAGTTTAAATTATGTCAAGTAATTAATTAACTTGATAAAGTTTTTAAATAAATATTTTTTTTTTAATGTAAAGTGTTCAGTTTTATGAGGTAAATCATCGTCTGCCTTTAGTAATACAGGGGTGCTTATCCTAATTTACTTAGGCTGAAAACTGGCCTAATTTAGCGTGGCAGGGTTTTTTGGTATTTTTGTATTTTTCTCTGTAAATATAGTTCCCGCAGACTGCAAAAACTTTTGGCTAAGGAATATCGGCTATAAAGTTGAAGTCATCTGGATATATTGTTTCTCAAACAACAGTGTCTAAAATCAAATTAAGCAGGACTACCATCGCCTGCCAAGTTTCAGCCCCCAAAAAAGCGTCGCGCACCGTTCTTCGATAAATCGACGCCCTTACAAGCAAAGAAACCCCTCGGACCCAAAACCATAAAATATCTAAGACACATGTGGGTTGGTTCATTAAAACAAACTTTAAAAGAAGCTGAAGAACAAGGCCAAAGTTCACCGACTATGTAAATGCGACTCATAATCGAAACCAGAAGACCAACTTAAGCAGGCTGTATGAGGGATATTTAGCAGGAAGAAAATCGGAATATGTAGTGACACTTGACGAGGACCTTTTTTATGTCCAGGATTGCAAAGGGAAAAGAAAAATATATTATCGCAAACCAGGAAAATCGGACCCATATTTTTCGTGTACGAAAAACAAGAGAAGTTTTATAAGAAATTTATGGTGGTGGCCGCTATAATTGGGGTGGGCGTGGCGTCTTATTCGAGTGCCACAAAAAGTTAAGGTAAACGCAAACTATTATATAACTTAAGTTTGGAAACCAATTTTAGATCAACAAATCCCACAGTTTTATCCCGGTGAAACTCACAAAGTATTTGCGCATCATGATGATGCTCCCTCTGACATGTCTGGGAAGTTTGGGATCTCCATCGTTCCTAATTCCAGATACCTGTAAAGAATGAAATAAATAGGTGTTGATAAGTGTTTAGTGCTTGTGTGGGGGTCGAAGGGGGTGGAGTCCGTAATGGTTATACCAACCGCGACGAGCAGCCCGTCATGCTTCTTCGTAGATGTCCCGGTTACGGCGGGGAGGGATAGCTCGGACATAGGTTCGCTTACAGGTGGCCACAAGACAAGTGTTTCATTGATGCACATCTTAATCGTGCATTTTTTACAAAATTCCTCAGGCAATCTTACTTGAGTTCGCCTAATATTTCTCCTAACAAATTAAATTCGTCGTATCTCAAGCTTCAGCAATATCAAAAATTCTCACCAACTCCACCCACACATGAAATTTTCTATTATATGAGAACATAAACGCCCCCACCCCGATCAAACGTGGATGTAAATAAACCGTTACAACGCATGTAACCAAGGGGTGAAAGAAGTGTGTCATCCGTATAATTGACCTTAAAATGACATTTCAAGACCTTTGACCTTGAAGGGTGTGACCCACAGGGTGCATCTTCGAACTCGTCCTGTCCCTTGACGTTAGGAGTTTACGTTCAAAATTTCAAGTTTCTATGTCATTCCGTTCAAAAGTTATCGGACCAACGGACAGACAGACGGACAGACAGACGGACGGACAGACGGACATATCGATCTTATAAATGGCTTTCACCCCTTAATAAATGAAGTCATTGAAAACTATTTAGATGCAGTATGTAATATCGGTATTTATTTTTGCTCGGGTTACTAAGTGTAATTTAATGGGATCAAAATTGTTGAACCTTGACAATGGGTACGGGTTTAGGACATTTTTAAATCAGAAATTTAGACAACAAATAGAGCCCCCGCGCTAACATTCGGTCGGCCGGGAACGACAGCGTTTGTTGACTTTAGCCAACAAGTCCCAGACACAGCTACGGATAAATAGGCTATCCCACGACAGCGTTCGTTGTTGTAGCAGAGGGCACAGCAGTTTTCGTAACTTGTTGCGGAAAATCTCGCAAGATCCTGACCATAGCTAATGTCGTGGTTTTGACGTCGGTCACAGTAATATTTTGGGCCTAAAATCACAAAGTAGAAGTGTATATATTATAAATAATTGCATTGATAGTGTTGTAGTTGTTGTACGTGTTGTAGTTGTTGGACGTGTTGTGGTGGTTGGACGTGTTGTAGTTGTTGGACGTGTTGTGGTGGTTGGACGTGTTGTGGTAGTTGGACGTGTTGTAGTTGTTGGATTTGTTGTAGTTGTTGGACGTGTTGTGGTTGTAGGACGTGTTGTAGTTGTTGGACGTGTTGTAATTGGTGTGGTGGTTATTGTAGTTGGAACGGTCGTAGTTTGTGTAGTTGGTGTAGTTGTAGTTGGTGTAGTTGTGGTTGGTGTAGTTGAAACGGTCGTAGTTGGTGTAGTTGTGGTTGGGGTAGTGGTAGTTGGTGTAGTGGTAGATGGTGTAGTTGTTGTTGTTGTAGTTGTAGTTGGTGAAGTTGTAGTTGGTGTAGTTGTGGTTGGTGTAGTTGTAGTTGGTGTAGTTGTGGTTGGTGTAGTGGTGGTTGGTGTAGTTGTAGTTGGTGTAGTTGTAGTTGGTGTAGTTGTAGTTGGTGTAGTTGTAGTTGGTGTAGTTGTAGTTGGTGTAGTTGTAGTTGGTGTAGTTGTAGTTGGTGTAGTTGTAGTTGGTGTAGTTGTAGTTGGTGTAGTTGTAGTTGGTGTAGTTGTAGTTGGTGTAGTTGTAGTTGGTGTAGTTGTAGTTGGTGTAGTTGTAGTTGGTGTAGTTGTAGTTGGTGTAGTTGTAGTTGGTGTAGTTGTAGTTGGTGTAGTTGTAGTTGGTGTAGTTGTAGTTGGTGTAGTTGTAGTTGGTGTAGTTGTAGTTGGTGTAGTTGTAGTTGGTGTAGTTGTAGTTGGTGTAGTTGTGGTTGGTGTAGTGGTGGTTGGTGTAGTTGTAGTTGGTGTAGTTGTAGTTGGTGTAGTTGTGGTTGGTGTAGTGGTGGTTGGTGTAGTTGTAGTTGGTGTAGTTGTAGTTGGTGTAGTGGTAGTTGGTGTAGTGGTAGTTGGTGTAGTGGTTGTTGGTGTAGTGGTAGTTGGTGTAGTGGTTGTTGGTGTAGTTGTAGTTGGTGTGGTTGTAGTTGATAGGGTTTCTGTTTCTTCACTTGTGATCAAAGTAGGACTTCTAAATTGTAACAGTAGAAAACGAATTGGATTAGCCAGATATAAAAAATGACCACGTGTTGGGAATACAATTGCTTACGGGGTCGGCGTAGTGGTGACGATGACGCAAGGGGAATTAGCTGCATGATTACAGGTATGCAACCCTTGATCCCAAACCGTCCCAGGTGCGCAGCAATGCACTACCGGGTAACCATTCGTGCACTGGATGAACTTCCGGCAATCATAGGCGAACGGATGATAAGTGGGTATTCCCCCCTCCCATTGGGGACAGTAAACCGCCTACATAAACACATTAAAATAGTGTCTCAAATTGCCCCCCATTTTGCTATATTCAAAACAAATATCTAATTGTCTCTTATAACTGTGCCTGATATTTTGATGCTGATTAACCATTCCTAAATTCTGAATTTAAATAGTACTCCTATGCATAGGAGTACTATTTAAATTCACCATAGCTATGGTATGTATATCTTGCCTGAGGCGGTTCCCCATTGTTGACATCGCATGCCAAAACCTGCACCCATGTTGAACAGAAATAAAATACTATGGCGACCAGGTGAAGTGTACGTCTCAAGTCACCCATTTTCATAAACCTTTTCTGTAATCTTCCAAAATGAGGCTTACCTCCGTCCCACAATTAACTAACCTTGCAAGGTGGATTTGGCAGCCTTTTTATTGCCCACTTGGGTCCATCTTGACGTCAAAATCTCAATCCATGAGAGGATTAAGTAGCTTCAACTCAAAATGTCATGTTGCGTAATCCCTGTTCATTTTTGTAGTGAACCACGAAGCAATTTTTTTGATTGAACAACAATTAAGCCAACTTAATTCCTTTTATTGAATTTTTTTTCTTGTGAATGTAAGTTTTCGTTGAAATTAGCACTAATCAGAATAATTAATAATTCATTCATCAAGCTTAGCGTGACAGCAGTGATGCAGATGGACGAGTTGGAAAAAGTATTTTTACCTGGGCATCCCGATTAGGGCATTCAATACCGGTGTTGTTTTTCAAAACCGTATTCGATATTTTCGGTATTGGGACCGTCTGTATTACCGATACCATATGCTAAACATGTATTTGCGAAGGATAACAGCAAAAAATTCCATTGTTCTAAGGAGGAGAACGTCACCACCTGCCCTTCACAGATCTCGATGCCCTTTGGATATGTGGTAGGGTCCCATGAGTGTACTAAAACCCTGAAGTGGTTTGACTCCATGGCCACATTTGCGCCCGCCACACCCACTCAAAGGGATGAAAACCACAAAAGTTACCAACTTCAAAAATCCACCAAAAATCCAATTTTGCTCGGATTTTTATAAAATTTGCATTTTTGTGATCCCCGATACTTGTCTGATAATATCCAATAGCAATCTCAACTTTTTTGATTTTTTCGAAATTTTCGAGCTGATGAATTATTCGAAAAAATTCAAAATTTCAAAAAAGTTGAGATATCTACTGGATATGATCACACAAGTATCTGGGATCACAAAAATGTAAATTTTATAAAAATCCGAGCAAAATTGGATTTTTGGTGACATTTAAAGCATATGAAAACAGGGCTTTTTTCGTGTTTTTGGCGCCTTTGAGTGGGTGTGGCGGGCGCAAATGTGGCCATGGAGTCAAACCACTTCAGGGTTTTAGTACACTCATAGGACCCTACCACATATCCAAAGGGCATCGAGATCTGTGAAGGGTAGGTGGTGACGTTCTCCTCCTAAGTATTAACCACTAGAAGCATATTCACTGGCTACAAAATTTACTTTGTAAAATGGGTTTCATGGGCTGGGAGGTAGATTTATCAAGTTACGGTACCGGTTACTCGTTTTTTTGAGATATCGAATAAGTTTTCTAAAATTTTAGCATTTTGTCACATGACGGAACAAATTATGATAATTAAATCAAAAATAAGTATGACAATAATTTAGGTTTATTACTAATTTTTTAGAAGCTAAAGATAATTAGGAAAAAATTAGTGGATGTACAATTTCATGGGTGAATTCCTTAGAGTATGTAACATATTATGTTATATACTTTAAGGTGAATTCCTATAGGCATAATAATAATAGGGTTAAATATATATTCTGTGTGAGCGATGAATCTACACATTTATATATTATCTGACTAACTTTTGACTGGGTTTGAATATATGGAAACTTTTTTTTTGCTAAAATGTCCGGATTAAATATCTTTTGTATATAATTAAGGTGAATACCGGTATTGAAGTTTTCAAAACCGGAATTCGGTATTCGGTAATACCGGTGAATACCGCGGTATCAATACCGGTATTGCATGGCCTAATCCCGATCTTTAATCCCTCGGTGGAACATGTTTATCTCCATGGTGTCTAATTTAGTCATCCATTATTATTCTTTGTCATATACATATGTATATAAATACTCCTGCATATGTATGTATGTATTTGTGGATGTACTTACGTTTGAGGTTTGACGTATTGAGGTTAAGTATATCAGTAATATTAACTAACAATGGAGGTCTCCCAACGTATGCTCACAGATTTGCCTAAGATTTGCCACAGATCTACCCAAAAATGGGTAGCAAATTAAGAAAATAAAAATTTGCCAGCGTTTGCGCGCGTTTTTCCCTGCTTTGGATGCAAATATCTTTGGACGCAAAACCTGCGCATTGGCAGATAGTTCCATTTGCAAATTTCATACTAATTATATTTGTGATCCATTGACACTAGTTTGGTCCAAATCTGTGAGCATACGTTGGGAGACCTCCATTGTTAGTGATTACGCCTGCCATGATTTTCGCAACTGGTGGGTAATCAATTAAAGTTTTAAGTATTGTATGTACAAAATTGGACAAGGATAAAACAATAATTAATTAGAATTCTTGTTGTTCTTCGAGTTGTAAATCCACCAATATCAAATCATAAGCAGAACGCCCTGTACATAAAACTGCACCTGGAGTAATGAAATTATTACCAGCTTTCTAAGTGTGCAATTACAAAGATTGTGACTGTGGTAATGAATATTTTTTGATAAAATGTAGCCTACATACACAAGTACATCATTGATGTCTCCCAGTATACGAGGAAGAATCGCTTAAACATGACCGTAATTTATATATTATTGCTTTCCTTGCTCAGCTTAATTTCTAGGCAATTTGTCCTTCTTATTGGTAGTGCGACCAATAAGCTGCATTTTGCCTTGATTAAGCAAGTACTTTTCAAATTTTTCCTATAAATTTGATTTTGAGCTATTTTCAAAATTTTTCAAAAAAACTGATTTAACCTGTATTAAAAAGACTAACATATTACGTCAGAAAAAAATGGGTCTGTCTAAATATTTCCAGATGGAATGGTCTGTGCGATTGGCCTACTGTCATACTTATAAATTAATGCCAGCGAGCATTGAACACCAAGAGAGAACACAAAGATCATTTAATTATGACGAGCTGGTTAAACTCAACCACGGAAATACCACCCGACAAAAGTGAGAACAATGCCACTGAAGTCCGTAACTAGATTTGTGTTCAAAATTCCCTTGGGTTAAACTATATCAATTGTATACCAAAAATAACCTCTCTTTAAATTATGATAGGACAAAATATCAGATTTTCCATAAGGTCAACCATCCAATTCCCTCCGTATATGTAAATCGGCCACTTTCATTGGATAGTGGTCATGTAATTGAACAAGTAACAAGTTTCAAATACTTATATCTTTACGGCCTAAAAAGATACCTAACTGATATCGTCATGCAAATAATGCTAAATAGCCATGTTAACTCAATTTCAGACTATTGTATAGATATCTGGGCAACTCTCACAACGCCACAACTTGTGACAATACAAAACAAGGTTGACCGTTTTCTTGTTAACTTTTACTTACCAGCAATTGCTAAGAAAATACGTTTGCATAAATCTCAATATTATAAAGATTTTAGACACAATATTAATATAGTTGAGCTACACACAAAATGTAAATCTCTGACTCTCATTGAGAGGAGAGATCTTTTCTTACTTAAACATGCGTATAATAATTTATTACACACCAAAACTGTATCATCAAGTAGACGCTCTTTTCCCCTATTGTCACTTCCCGTTGCAAGAACGACCATCGCTCAGAAAAACATAAACTTTCGAGCGGCCAAGCTGTAGTATTCCCTCCCACGCGACTGAGACGGAAATCTCACCTATGCAAAGTTTATCACGAACTGCCGAGAATGGGTAGTAAATAAACGTAAAGACGAATTTATATATCAATAGGTCATAAATTTATATAGTCATACTAATTATATACATACATATTTACCTATGTATGGGTCTGCAAATTTATGTGGGGTATCCCGAGCTATGTCTACATTATAGACATGAGAACGAGCATCAATTTATTTATGGAATATTAGATAAATAGGTATCCATGACAACTTTAAATGGATATTGATAATGAGGCGGTGTAATAAAATATCACCGCCAACAACTCTGTTCTCGTAGTCTTCCCAAATTGACTGAATGGTCGTATCTGAAACTTAACGGGGCAACAACTTCTGACCCGTCTTGACAAATTGCTTGACCTTGATGCCGTCTCAAGATTCCGTAACCTCGTGAGATCATCCAGCTTAAGCGCAACGGTTGAAAAAAGTGGAACAACTAAATGAATACCAACCTCGACTAGTAAAACAACACAGCCACAAAAAATTGTTAAGGTGAGGGGGACCGTGTTATGTAACTTTATTGCCAAGAAGATCAACACGACCGCATTTAACATCGATATTAGCAAACCAACCGGAAATGTATAATGGGTTAAACGGTTGCTGGTTGGTATAAGGATTTGCATTTGTCGGTGAAACTGAACGTTTCTGCGGAAACGGAAAGATTTTGAAACATTTTGGTTCCTGGCGACGTCATCAATGCTGAGTGTGATCCACAGCAGAATGCTTATAATGAGCAGGACCATTCCAATTTCTTTCAATGAAATGTTGATACCAGTTAAACTTTGGTTTCGTGCATTTGGAATTTAATTATGAGGAGATTAGACAATTGAAATTTAATAATTAAATAAATTATGGAATTAAATTGCTTCAATAACTAACAAACTATTTAAGTGATAATTTAGTCCTAATTTTATGAAGCATACAAGCAATATTTTTACCCTAGCTTACTTTACTTTGTCGTAACGGTTAGCAAAATTAACCCTTGTTATTACGTGACATAATAACTGAAGGGGACATAATTTTTCTACGTCAATAGAAGGAAGTTCATCGTCTGTATTGAGCAAAAATGCTGAATTACCAAAGACGTCAATCTGTCGACGAAATTGCTTCCAAACCTGACTCTTAGCGGGAGGAATGATTTTAACATCCTTCTCTCCACCGTAGTGAGCCCTACACCCTTTATGGATTTCAAGCAGGTCTCACTCTTCCCATTGGTGACAGCCGTGGCCGTACAATAGAGCAAATTAAGAACTATTGCATCTACGGAGAAGAACACGATGAAGAACAGATGCGTTGCTGGCATCCTGTTATGAAATTTGATACCCGCAAATGTCGCACATATTTGCATTAATGGAGTCAACACTAACAAACTGGGGAAGAGCTTATCTCTTATTAGGGGTTTTCCGGTACAAGCTATTTTGGATTTTAGTTTCAGATTGGCTTGAG